GATAGAGGAAGAATAGAGAGTAGGGAAGACATCATTCTTTTTTTTTTTTTAATCTTTAAATTGTGATAAAACATACACGAAATTTACATTTTCACCACTTTAAACTGTACAATCAAGTACATTCACAGAGTTGTGCAACCATCGCTACTATCTAGTTGAACTTTTCATCTCCCCAAATGGATACTTCGTATCCATTACGCAGCCACTTGTTCTGTGCCGGGGTGGACAGGGAAGGCCTGCTGAGGAGATGATGGAGAGAGCCATGACGTACCACAGTGTATTTAACTGACTCCCTGTGTAGTGCCCATAACTGACTGCCACAAACAGGGCTTCGGCAGCAAGCATCCCTGTTCCTGCTTCTTTGCGCGCGCGCGCACACACACACACACACACACACACACACACACACACACATATGCATGTAGGATGGTTCTTACAAGGGGTCCTGCCCCCACTTCCCACGATGCTGCACCACTGGACACATTTTCCCGTTTAATTTAACTTTTTCTATCTTATTTGCTATCTAAGTCATACGTAGCCATGGAAGAAGTAACAGAGCAAATAATTAAGGAACCAAAGGGATGAAACCAACTCTCCAGTTCTCACAATCTCGCCCTCCACATTCGGGGAGAACTATACTTTGCAGCGTGCCTTCTGGGCCCCAGGCACCTAGGCAGCCCCACCTCTGGGAGAGGGCACCCCAAGGTCCAGCTGCACCGCCAACCGCTACTCTCCCCTTGCCCAGAGCCTTCCTCCGGATGCTTTTCCCTGAGAAGCTGGATGTGGACAAGAAGGGCCGCCCCAGCACTGCTGGCTCCAAGATCAAGGTGGACCTGGGGTGGGCGAGGAGGAGCTGGGCTTGGGGATGGCTGGGTCTGTTTCTCCGTTCATTCCAGTGTCTGTCCCTTCCCCAACCCGGGCCCTCTGCCCCTGTCTCTGGCACCTTCTGTCCAGCAGGGCCTTCTTCCAGCTCTGGGGTTAAGGGGCTTGAACCAGCTTCCTCAATGGAGCCCCTAACTCCCTAAATCCAGAAGTGAGCCATCACCCTAATAATTTTTTGCCTTCTGGTCATATGGCATTTTTTTAATGTGGTAAAATAGACATACCATAAAATTTACCATCTTAACCATTGTTAAGTGTCCAGTTCAGTGGCACTAAGCACATTCGCACTGCTGTGCAGCCGTGACCACCATCCGTCACCAGAACCTTTTTCATCTTGCAAAACTGACACTCTGTCCCCGTTAAACACTAACTCCCCCCGCCCCCAGCTCCTGGCTCCCACCAACCACTTTCTGTCTCTATGAATCTGACTACTCTAGGGACCTCATAAAAGTAGAATCACATGATATCTGTCCTTCTGTGTCTGGCTTATTTCACTGAGCGTAACGTCCTTAAGGTTCATCCAAGTCCTAGCAGGTGTCAGAATTTCCTTCTTTTTTAAGGCTGAACAATTGTCCATAGTGTGGATGGACCACTTCTTGTTTATCCATTCATCTGTCAATGGACACTTAGGTTGTTTCCACCTTTTAGCTATTGTAAAAAGAGCTACTGTGAACACGGACGTCCCATCTGAGTAATATTTTAATAACCATGTATTGAGCACTTGTCAGTGCTGGCAGCAAATACGGGACAATTTACTTATATGAGACTAGTCCCACCTGGCAAATGGAGAGACCGAGGCTCAGAGAGGTGCAGTCACTGGCCCAGAACACACAGTAGAGCCATGATCAACACCAAATTTTCTCCTGCTGCTCCCCGCCAACCCGCCACCTGGGATGACTTCTAGTCTCCCTCGAGGGGCTAAAATGGACAACCCAAGGCTGGCTTCTCAGGCACACATATGAGATTCTGTACTTCCAAAGTACTGGTCCCCAAAAGACAGGCAGAAATGTTCTGGGGGACGTGTTTCCTGAGGGCTCGGTTTCTCCATCAACAAACACCCCACCCCCAGCAGTGTATCTCTGTCTCTTGGGTCTGTATTCAGGGTGGGAGGAGAGAGGGGCCAGAGGATCCCATCTGTGCACCCCCCACCCCTCCTCCTCCACCTCAGAAACAAGCCAACGACCTGGTGGCCACGCTGAAGAGGTGCACACCCCACTATATCCGCTGCATCAAACCCAACGAGACCAAGAGGCCACGTGACTGGGAGGAGAGCAGGTGACTCCTAGCCCAGCCTGGGTGCCACCTGGACTGGTCCACACTACCTGTCCCCAGACTGACCCTCCCTCCAGAACCCTCTTGGGGTTGCGTGACCCACTGCAGGACTGACCCAGGTTGACCTCTAGGACCAGATCAAAGGCCCTCAGGGCTCAGGATTAAACCTAGAACTGATCAAGACCTCCCCAGACCCCAGGGATGGCCCCAGACTGACTGGAGGATGACCCAAAACTAGCACAGTCTCCCTCACAGTCCCTAGGACCCAGCCTAGAAGTGACCTTGACCATAGAACTAACACAGAGACCAACCCCCCAGAACCTATGCCCTGATCCCATAGAAATGACTCCCTGGGACCAGTGCTGAACACCCCCTCCCCAGACCTCAGAACTCCCAGACCCCGAACTACCAGCAGCAGAGCCCCCTCCCACTCCTAGGACTGGTGAGGCCCCCATCAGGGGACTCAAGCCATCCTCCCTCCAGGGTCAAGCACCAGGTGGAGTACCTGGGCCTGAAGGAGAACATCAGGGTACGCCGGGCGGGCTTCGCCTACCGTCGCCAGTTCGCCAAGTTCCTGCAGAGGTGAGGTGCCCTGCTGCTCCTGGCCCTAACCACCACCTCGCAGAATGACCTCCGCCTGCACCATCTGCAACAACCCTCCTACCCCTCTGCCTCCAGGTACGCCATTCTGACCCCCCAGACGTGGCCACAGTGGCGGGGGGATGAGCGTCAGGGGGTCCAGCACCTGCTGCGAGCTGTCAACATGGAGCCAGACCAGTACCAGATGGGGAGCACCAAGGTCTTCGTCAAGAACCCCGAATCGGTAAGTGTATGTGGAAAAGAGAGACAGACACCTGCGTCACCTGCAGGGGCTCAGGTCTTGCTCTTCAGGCCACTGTGTGACCTTGCACATATTTCCTCACCCCTCCAAGCCTCAGTTTCTCCATTTGGAAAGTGGGGTGAGTAATAGCCACCCTGCAGGACTAGGGTGAGGATTATATAAAACAGGAAGTCCTCCGAACAGTGCCTAGCACGTAGTAGACGATCAGAAAAACCTAAATTAGCTGGACAGTCCTTAGTGGCCAGGAAGCAGGTGGAGAAACACATGGCTGCCTGTGGTGACAAGCCCCTTAGAAGGAATAGGACTCGCGCTTATCTGGAATGCCTTTTTTGTCCCTTGTCTCCTTCCTTTTTAGTTCCATTCCTTTCCCCTTTCTACTTTCTTCCTTTCTTTTCCTTTCTCATTTCCTTCTTTCTTTCCTTTCTCCTACCCTGTTCCTTCAGTCACGAACGCATTGAGTCCCTGCTCCTGAAACTCCTGTCAAAGTAGCAACTTTCTATTTCTTATTCCAAGACCAGCCTCAGGCCCTGACACATCAAAGGCAAACCTCATCCCACATTTTCCAACCTGGAACAATCCCTCCAGCTGCTACCATCGGCGCTTAGCCTTTTATCAAAAGGCTGGAAGCACCACCAACCTTATGCTGCCTCTGCTTTCAGGGAAAAAACAAACAAAGCAACAATGTCAAATAGGTCTTGGGGATCTCGCGTATAGCTCGGTGACTATAGTCAACGGTGTTGTATTAAATACTCAAAAGTTGCTAAGAGAGTAGATCTCCAAATTCTCACCACACCAAAGAATGGTAAATATACGAGGTGATGGAGGTGTTAGCTAACCTATAGCGGTAATCATTTTGCAATGTATATACGCATGTATCTAATCAACTCATGTACACTTCAAACTTACACAGTGTTACATGTTAATTACATCTCAATAAAGCTGGGGGGGAGGAAGGAAGGAAGGAAGGAAGGGAGGGAGGGAGGGAGGGAGGGAGGGAGGAAGAGACGAAGGAAAGAAGGAAAGAAAAAGAAAGAAAGAAAGAAAGAAAGAAAGAAAGAAA